CAGCCCCTGGGAACCTCTCTTCTACTTCATTCTCTAGAGATGAGCCTGTTCTATGTGCCTTGTGTAAGTGGAATCATTCAGTGTTTGTTCATTTGTGACTGGTTTATTTCACTCAGCAGAATGTCTTCAAGGTTCATCCATATTGTAGCCTGTGTCAGAATTTCAATCTTTTTTTTTTCAGATGTACATTATTATATTTCAGCTCTACATAGACTACATTGTGTTCACCAGCATTAATCTAGTTTTTATCCATCACCATACATATGCGCCCCTTTACCCTTTTTGCCCTCCTCCTACCTCCTTCCCCTCTGGTAACCACCGATCTGTTCTCCTTGTCTGTATGTTTGTTTGTCTGTTTATCTTACACATATGAGTGAAATCATATGGTATTTGTGTTTCTCTGTCTGACTTATTTCACTTAGCGTAATACACTCAAGGTCCATCCACATTGTCACAAATGGTACCATTTCATCTTTCTTATGGCTGAGTAGTCTTCCATTGTATATGTATACCACATCTTCTTTATCCATCATCCATTGATGGGCACTTGAGTTGCTTCCAAGTCTTGACTATTGTGAATAATGCAGTAATGAGCATAGGGGTACGTGTATCTTTTAGAATTAGTGTTTTCATGTTCTTTGGATAAATACCGAGAAGTGGAATAGCTGGATCATATGGTATTTCTATTTTTAATTTTTTGAGAAATCTCCATGCTGTTTTCCACAGTGGCTGCACCAGTTTGTATTCTCAGCAGCGGTGTATGAGGGTTCCTTTTTCTCCACATCCTCTCCAACATTTGTTATTTCTTGTTTTGATAATTATAGCCATTATGACATGTGTGAGGGGATATCTCATTGTAGTTTTGATTCACATTTCCCTAATAATTAGTGATGTTGAACATCCTTTCATGTATCTGTTGGCCATCTGTATATCTTCTTTGGAAAAACGTCTGTTCATATCCTCTGCTCATTTTTTAATTGGGTTGTTTGTTTTTTGTTGTTGAGTTGTTTGAGTTCTGCATATATTTTGGAAGTTAACTCTTTTTCAGATCTATGATTTGCAAATATTTTTTCCCAGTTGATGTGTTTTCTTTTTGTTTTGTTGATGACTTCTTTGTCATCAATCCTTTTTATAGCTGAATAACATTCCACTGTATGTATATACCACATTTTGTTTATCCATGAATTTGCTCATGGACACTTGAGTTGTTTCCACTTTTTGGCTATTGTGACTAATGCTAACCTGAACACTGGCCTGCAAATATCCATTTGAGTCCCTGTTTTCACTTCTTGTGGGGCATAGACCTAGGAGTAGAACTTCTAGCTCATCAGGTATTTCTATGTTTACATTTTTGCAGAATGGCCAAACCTTCTTCCACAGCAGCTACACCGCTTTACATTCCCACCAGCAAAGCATAATTGTTGCATGTCCTTCCCCACATACTCGCCAACACCTGCTGTTTTCTGTTTTCATTATTATTGTTAATATTACTATTACTAGTATTATGGACATCATAGTGTATGTGAAGGGGCACCTCACTATGATTTTGATTTGCATTTCCCTAATGACTAATAGTGTTGAGCATCTCTCCTTGTGCTTCTTGGCCATTTATATATCTTTGGAGAAATGTCTGTTGAGCCCTTTGCCCATTTTTAATCGGATTGTTTTTGTTGTTGTTGAGTTGTAGCAGTTTTATATATATTTTGGATACCAATCCCTTATCAGATATGTAATTTGCAAATATTTTTCCCATTCTATGAGTTGCCCTTTCCCTCTTCATAGTGTCCTTTGATGCACAAAAATTCATGTTGGTAAAGTCCAATTTATCTGTTTTTTTCTTTTATTGCCTGTGTTTTTGGTGTCATGGTTAAGAAACCATTGCCAAATCCAGTGTTGTGAAGATGTCCTCATATGTTTTCATCTAAGAGTTTTGTAGTTTTAGCTCTTAAGTTTAGCTATTTCATGCATTTTGAGTTAATTTTTGTATATGGGCTTCCTCAGGGATGGTTTCTGTCAGATTCTTTTTCTCCTGTGAATGGGCCATACTTTTCTATTTCTTTATATGCTTTTTTTTCTGTCGAGAACTGGACTATCTGAGTATTATAATGTGGCAACACTGGAAAACAGGTTCTCCTACTCCTCAGGGATTTCTGATGCCTGCTTGTTGAGGGCTGGAGTTGTCCATTTATGCCTTTGCCAAGCTATTTTTTAAAACATGTATGTACTCCCTGTCAGTTTCAGTCCCGAAACTGGAGTTTCTGTGCCGGGGTCTCTGTGGTCAGTTAAGGAGAGCAGCATGTCCCTTCCGCCAGCACTTCTCAGTTGCTGTAAGTGTCTAATCAGGTTCCAGAATTCTGAAATAGTTGATCCCAATCACTCTTCCAGCTCAATGGCTGTTTTGGTGGAGGGACTGACCCCAAAGTCTCCTACGCCACCACTTTGCCTGACGTTCCCTCTGGTCTTGTATTTTTAAAGGCAGCCACATTTATAAATATTTTCCTTTATGGCTTCTGGACTTTGTATCTTGATTAGGAAGACTTTACCCATGATGAGATTATTCAAAACAAACAAATACAAAAACTCTCAAAAGTAGCCAAAATCTTTACAATAGTATGACCTCATTTATTTTTAATTTTTAAAAAATTTTCGTGTCTAACCTTTGAAGTCTCTGGAGTGTGTTGTGGTGTAGGGCGTGAGGAAGGGTCTGCCTCTTCCACGCGTGTTCCCTGTCTTGGTCGTGTCTCTGTCCCTCCTCATCACCCCCCATCCCATCTGCCCAAAAAGCAAGGAGATGACGAGCACAGCCCTGCTCCTTCTTCAAAAGCTAACGAGAGCATCGCCTCCTCTGGACACTCCGGCAGGAGGCACATCTTGGGAAAGTTTCTGAACACCATGAGATGCAGGCAAGCAGAGAAGCAGCTAGTCTGCAGGAGCTGAGGCAGAGCCCACATGAGAGCTCAGTGCGCCCGGCAAGTGGGGACCAGGAGGGCACTGTGAGAGCCAGTCCCGGGTTCTCTCATGGAGGCTGAGACAGGGAATGGTGGGCGCAAGGTGGACCCAGGTTGAATGTGCCGGGCTGGGGTGCCTATGGGACACTGAGGTAGAGAGGCCAGGAGGTGGAGAGCCGGGCTGGAGCGGGGGAGGTAGGTGTGCTTTTTTGGGTCACCAGCATGAGGGGATAGATTGCTGGAGCACTGGAGGGGCACATCCAGAAGGGAGTGTGGAGTGAAGAAGATGAGCCTTTCTCCTCCCACAGCAGCTCTGTTATCACAGACGGTCTTTTCTCTAGACCTCTGGTTCTCAGTGTGTGTTGGGGTTGAGAGACTCTGTCCCCTAGGAAACATTTGGCGATTTCTGGAGACATTTGTGGTTGTCACAACTGGGACGGGGTGTTGCTGCTGGTGTCTGGTGGGTAGAGACCAGGAATGCTGCTAACATCCTACAGTGCACAGGACAGCCCCCATGCCTCAACAAGAAGGATTCAGCCCCAAGGTTGTGCCACGGTTGAGGGTCCCTGCTTGAGAGCCCTGAAAACACCACCTGGGCTCGGGCTCCTCACCTTGCCATGAGCTGAAGTCTTGCATACCCTCCCTTCTCCTAACACTGCCGTGCAAGGAACCCCAATTCCCACTCCATCTTCAATTTTGAAAGAGTGTCAATGTCTGTAATGTCTCTTTTCTGGCCGAACCTCCTCACGGAGCCTGTGTGTGGTGAGAACTGCTGGCCCAGGTGGAGAACACATGCGGACTGACTGGCCTGCAGCCAGTTCTTGCTTAGAAAGCACTCAGTGGTCCCGTAGTGGCATGGTGTGCTGTGCAGGACTTGGCGTGGATGAGCTGCCAGTGGGAGGAGGCCACTAGAACGAAGATGCAAGGTGGGCTCGGGCAAGCTAGGAGCTCCCAGAACCTGACCCTCTCATCCTACCCTCAGCCCCACCCCGTACATTGAAAGAAAACCTATGCACATATGGGAATTAGAGCTGGTGACTGAGGCATTATTGGGATTCCAAACAGCACAGGTGGAGCATTGTCAGGCTTTGTAAAAAGGAGAGGTGCAGAGGGCTTCGCAGCTGTTGAAATTGATATCTTTTCCCGTAAACTCCACATTCATTAGGAAGGCGTTCTCATTGCAGAGCCTCCTCAGGAAGGACGCGAGTCAGAGCAGACGAGGGAGGCGGGGCGGTGGGTGGGGACATGGGGGCGCTCTGCGGAGCCCAGCCCCTGCACCTGCGCCCACACTGGGGCGATCTTGAGAGAGGTCTCCAGGGGATGAGGCACAGAATGAGAAGCAGGGCGAGAAGGCAGTTGTGATGCTAGGGAGCGTTTGGCAATCACTCAGCCTGTCAGGACTGAAATAATAATGCTCCAGAACCATCTTTATACTCATTTTTCCTCTTTCCCTTTTGGAGACAAATATGAAACACCGAAGCACCTTTTTACTTTTTCATTCTGAAAGCTCATCAAACATTTATAGGGCCAACCTCTTCAGGATGGAAACAGGGGACCCGTCTTCAAAATCAGTTTGGCTTTTTGAAGTAGACACGTAGTCAGCAGTGAAGTACATGGTGAATGCGGGAGAGATGTGATTATGCATTGCAGTGGACAGAGGAGGAAGCCAGGTCTCTCAGTTCCCTCACAAGAACGTGAAGGCAGACTCGAAATAGAAGGGCTTATCCAGGGCCTGCGTCCCGAGGTGCGAGAGGAGGGGTCAGGTGGATGCCTGCTTTCAATTCTCCATCCTTCCGACCCTCTGAAGGTCTAGCAGCCTCTAATGAGCAGTGGCTAGAGATGACTTCTCTGAATAAAAGAAAATCAGATTTCTCTTCTCTGAAACATAGAGGGAGTATACCAAGAGAAAATTAATAGGATTTGATAGCAATCTTTAAGGGAAATCTGTTTTCTTAATTTCCAGATGAGTCTGCTTGAAAGTGAGCGCTTCCTGGTGGTTTGCCAAAGCGAGGAGCGCTGACACCCAACCACATTAACTCGATTCTCTTTCAGCAGACCACAGCGATGGGTGGAGCTCTGAAGACGGCAGGGAAGACCCAAACGTGAAAACCAAGAGGAATCGGTAGGTGTCAATGTCCTTTCCTCGTGTGTCTTTCCTTAGAGCATAATTAGGTGTGGTTAAGAAAGAAAAGGCATCGTTTTGACTCTATTGATGGAGCAAAGAGCTGACTGAACTGCTGAGCAGATGGTGGGAGAGCTCAGGACTGCTCCGGGGCCCCACATATTGGGGCGCAGGTGTCTCAGTGGCTCCAGGCACCTCAGACACTGGGCAGCATCTGCCCTCCCCAGGCCTCCTTGGTGCCCACACACTTAGCCCTGGCCTTGCTTCCGGAGCCTTGAAGGAGTCGGCAGAGCCATCAAGGTGCCCCAGAGAGTGCCATGTGCTGGGTGAGGAGGTGGGTTTGGGGGTTCCAGCTCTGTCCCTTGTTTACTTTGTGACTCTGGGCAAAGTAATTCCACCGTGATCTCAGATTTCTCATCTGAGAAATGAGATTGCAGAAGCTCCTAGTGGCAGCTTGAGGAGACGCCTGAATGAGATGATGCCGTGTGACTTCCGGTTGCACTCAGAGAATGGAAGCTCTCCATCAGAGTTTGCCTGTTGCCATTTGGTTGTGGTGGGTGGAAGATCTGCCTTGCCTGTCAAGCCAGGGGGGTGATTGTTACCCCTTTAACCCCTCCAGTCAGGCCCCGGTCCGTGGTTGCTTTCATACTAAATTCCACACAAAGGGGTAAAATTTGCGGTCTAATTTCCCCGGCAGGAGATAGACGGAAGGCACGGTGTAGTTTCTGGGCACCATCTCTGGTGGGGGTTTGTCTAAAAGACGACCCACGAGGGGAGTGTCAAAGCCTGCTTCCTGAGCTCAAGTGGAGCCCGGCGTCCTGTCAGGACTGGCCCTGGCGCTGGCCCAGCAAGCATTCCATCCTGTACAGGTGCCCGTGTATCAGCCCTTCGTGGGACCCCTCAGGCCTGCGGCAAGAATCTGAATGCAGTTGTCAAGAGCATTGGCACTGTGCGTGTGTTCTATACAACAACGTGTCTCAGAAGACATATTACTTTTGCAGTAACAGATGTTTGCAGTAACGAAGGGAAATGCCATCTTGCCCATTCTCACCTCTTCACTCCTTACCCTGTGACTTCCAGGCAAAGGGCAGTGAGACAGAGAGAGGGAGAGAGAGGGAGAGAAGGCGCAGGGCCAGTGGGTGCCCGACAGCAGGGGAGTTGGGAATGGGTTCTCCTCTCCAAGTGACGCCCATGGGGCCATGAACCTGTAGAATTAGACCTGAGTGGGTTCATTAAGTCCTTTTATTTCAATACCTTTGGGACTTTTTCCGTTATACACCCCTTTAAAAATGATTTTAATGACCAAGCCCCAGGTATATTGTCATTTTAACTGATAACAAGCAGACACCACAGAATTTTCCAGAAACAATGCAGGGAAGGGTAAGCACTGTCTTCCCCAAGACAGGGAGGCATTCCCGGTGGGAGGCAGAGGTCTCTCTGAGGTGAAGGAGACCCAGGGCTGCAATGTGGCAGGGCCAGGGGCTCCCTGTGGCCCTGGAGTGAGGAAGCCCCCCACCTAGTCTCGCAGGCTTCTGTGCTCGTGCCCCCTCAAATCTTCTCCTTAGAAAGTCACTTTTTGTTGTCGAAGGACACTTGTGTGGGCCACAGAGGATGTACACGGGATGCCTTCGGTGAGGCAAGGGCTCCAGGAAAGGGAGTAAAATATTGTCTCTTTATACTTACTTTCAGAGCATGGACATCAGCTAAGCCAGTCTCCGTTGGTCTTTGAATGAGTGTGTGTGTGTGTGTGTGTGTGTGTGTGTGTGTGTGTATCTATCTATATATAGATATATATATAAAAGTTTAAAACCAAGATGAGCTTCCTGAGGCAGAAGAGAAATGGAAATCTAGCCATGATTGGATGAACTCTGAACTTGTGTAGGAGGGAAAGTTCGGTCGGATCCAGAGTAGCTGGGGTGTCTGCCTGCATTGCCCAGTTTCACCCTTTTCCTGTGGGACTGGCCTGGAGCTCTGAGCGGTTGGCATGAAAACACTAATTCCGGTTTCAATCACTGAATTGCTCCATAGATGAGCACTCGCTTTGGAGCAGACATGGAGGTTTTGGGTGAAGCTGCCCCGGTATTGGTGATGGTGCATTTTCCAGCGGCTTCCAGCCTGCAGATTCTGTGTGCGAGGAGAACGCTCAGGCTCACGGGCTCCCCTCCATGCCTGAGGCGTCACTGTCATGGGTGGTTCTGTTCTGCCACTGATCTCGGAGGAAAATGCTTCTGTGGTAGTTATGCTGCTGGACTGAGGATCTAGAATGTTCCATGAGTCCTGGTCATGCATTTATGAGCCAGTTTACACAAAGTGTGCCCCCTCTGCTTGGAAGCTTCACTTTCGTACAGTTTTTTCCAAAGCTCCCTCCACAGCACTGATCTGCGTGTCCCTTGCTCAGAGCTAATCACCCCAGGCTGGATGGTCCATCAGTGCCATCTTGACGTTTTTGTCCATTTTGGGAAGGCTCCTGTCAGAGTACTCCTCGGGCTCCTAATGGCTTATTTTGCCTATTTTTATTTAGTGGACTCCGGCATAAATAGTAAGACAACAGGCTTCCAGGGAACCTGCTGAAATCAGTTCGTTTTGACCTACCCTTTTTGTCTAAATAATATAATTTTTCCTCATCAAAAATCACTTAAAATCCTCCTGCCATGTATGACTCATCAGCAGTCATATAATGACATCAAAGACATGAGGACACAAACTACAATGATTATTTTAGACACTGCTCTCTACTCCCTACATCTCTCAGGTACCCTGGCACAATTCATACACATTTTGAACATTCTCACACAGATGGAATTAAATCAATTGTGCAAATAATTCAGGTCCAAATGATACTTTTCCTAAAATTCCCTGGGAAGAGAAATATGTCATAATGACAAGCTTTCAAATTACTAAAATATTTTAAAAGACCTGGTGAGTGCCGTTTCAGATAGATGGTGATTTTCCATTTAATGGAATGTGTTCGTGATGCGTGATCCCTGGGACCGGGAAATTGATTGTTTGCCTTTTCCCGTTTAGTGCAGCGCCTGGAGGTTCTGCCAGTTTCTGAAGTGTACATCTTTTTATAGTTCAGACCTGCGTTTCACATGTGCTGTCTATTTTAAGAAGTTAGGATTTATTTCAAATAATGGCATTGAAGGCTTCAGTGAAAGCGTGTCATTTGGTTTAAAAATCAGGATGAGATTATCCACAAAACACATTGGAGAAGAACTTGCCAGTGATCTGTATGGCTTGTAGCCCCTTCACGAAGTGCCAGCTTTTGCCAGTTGATGGGCGGGGGGATTCCTGTTAAATTAATGGCTTTCCACAGCATGAAAGAGGGAAACTGCTCTTTCATGTTGTCAATTATCGTTGACCCCACAGCTTAGGAAACCTATTTAAGTTTGCATGATGTTTGGTGTAGATTTCTTGTATTGTGGCTGCCCAAAAGAAATCTCTTGGTGTGGAATATTGTTTATTGTGGTCATTTGTGAACTTTGGGGATGCCCAGTGGATGACCTTGTATGTAAGTGATAAAGTTGGTCTTGTACCGCCAACTCTTTTTTTCTTTTTTTTGGTCAGGAAGATTGGCCCTGAGCTAACATCTGCCAATCCTCCTCTTTTTGCTGAGGAAGACTGGTCCTGGGCTAACATCCATGCCTGTCTTCCTCCACTTTATATTGGATGCTGCCACAGCATGGCTTGCCAAGCCGTGCGTAGGTGTGCACCCGGGATCCGAATCGGTGAACCACAGGCCACCGCAGTGCAGCGCGCACACTTAACCGCTTGGGCAACTGGGCCGGCCCCTGTACCGCCAACTCTTAACATCAAGTAGGGTGCTTTGTTGGGGTCATATAGAGCTTTGGGTGGAGACCCAAGAGTATGGAATCAGCAAGAAGTGCCCCGGGGGTCATTCTTCTGCTTTCCTCAAATATGTCCTCTATTATTCTCCTCTTGGCAAACCAAGGTGGCCAAGGCATGCCCAAAACATGTCTTCTGGACAGGGCTGGGTCTTTAAGGACTTTTGGGGTAGCCTGAGGAGGAAGTCTCCATCCCCAGTGCCCATACATGACCCTGAGCGGTCCTCACAGAGCTGTTAGGCTATGATCTGTCTACCTGCAGTTCTGCACCCAACCTGGGGGCAACCTAGGGCAGGGAGCATCGATCTAGAACAGAAGAAGAACACCACCACCCAAAAGACAACAAAAGCCCACTTTAATGTCTGAGGTTTTGCAGCTACTCCCCCTGAGACTGACCCCAAGTCAAGCCCACACCTAGAGAGAGTCAACTGTGGGGGAAGAAAATACTCTTTTTACAATCAGAAAGCAGCTGATCCCTGGTGCAAGGCGTATAATGGTCACTGAGTGTGTGCAGCGAGGAGGGCCAGCACGCCATGCCTCTGTTCTCACATGCAAGTGTGAGATGAGCCCCATTCCCTTCCACATACATGACTTCTAGAATCCCAGAAAGATTAGCTACTGAGAAAGTGACAGCATTGCTCCTTTGAAATGCTGTAAGATAATGCTAGAAAATATGTGGACTCCAAATTAAGATTGCTGTAGAATTTTATCTTTAATTTGTCCTTAGATAACAAGCGAATGATCTGCATTCCAATGTCGGCACCGGAGTTGCGTTTTCCTCTCCAGGGGACAAGATAGGACGGTGTATGTCTCTTTGTGGTCTTTGACACGCATGGAAAACACATTATTAACATCCACATACCTTTTAAGTTATTCGTTGTACATAATTCATGACTTTAGTTGATTAATTGGTTCTGTATAGAAGCCTGTGGTTTTGTGAACAGTATTGTGTCTGTGCCTCATGTCATGAGGGCAGCCCACTGAGGACGCCTCATTGATATCTGCCTGTGAGAAGACTGAGGGCCCAGGCAGTAATTTGTCATGGGATTTCAATTTGTCTTTTTAGATTGAAACACAGATATTCTCTGGCTTTTATTTTCTCTTCAAAAAGGATGATGAAACTTATGTCTTTCTGAGAGTAGAGACCAGGTATCA